TTATTGGCTCCTATTCCTTGTTCTACTGTATCTGCTTTATTGGATGAACATGAGGCGCTCAGAATCTTTTTCCCCTGTTGAGATTAAATTAACAATATATTAAAATCGACCATCTTAACGATTTCTCCAAGCCAGTGAATTGGTGCCAAGAAGCCAACAAAGCAGAGTTTACTTAGGGGTCGAGAGCCCTGATATATTGAACCTTGCCAAGTGCTATGCTTCTTTTTATCTAATATATTGATAATTTTTGATTCTTTTTGTAATATTAATGTGTAGAACCGCAATAAACTGAACTAACAGATAAATAGCTTACAATTCCCTCTGTTACAGTGACTGTCCGTTCTGCAGCAGGCCCGCTAGTCGCTACTTCTTTTTTTGTCTTCACCACACATTGTGTAAGATTTCCTGCTCCTTGGTCTCCCTTTGGACCAACGGGTCCTGCTGAACCATTGAAGCCCCGTGGACCTGGTTCTCCTGTTGTACCAGGTGCCCCCTGTTGGCCTGTTGAACCATTAGCCCCCGGTACACCGGGAGACCCTGGAGTTCCATCTATCCCCGGTGGACCCTGGATTCCCTGAGTACCGTTGATTCCAGGGGGACCCTGTGGTCCTGGAGGTCCTGGCATCTTAGACACTGCATCGATCTGTTTATGTAAGCAAAAACAGTCTCATTTGAATTTCAAACCACAACTGTTAACCTAAAATTTTGAAATGGAGGAGTATTTTTTCTTTCATTTTTCCCAGGAAAAAAGTTTGAATGTACCGAGCTTTACACAGGGACCACGTCTATATTAAGCGAGCCTTTCTTTCAGCGTACACCATTCATCAAACGGACAGCTAGTTGCAAGGTCCCGAGATTTTTCCACAATATTCATGAAATGTGTGAAATAATATCCTACAAAATGGTCCCACATGACAAAGTAGTCACCTGAGGTCAAATTGGATCTGAAGCTCCCTTTTTAAAACACACAAACCCGTTGACCTAGTCTTTGTTTGCCAAAAGGAGACACTTTTACTTACTTCAGTGAAAAAGGTCAATTCACAACGAGCAGGGTACCCATGCATTGCAAATTCGTATTCATTGTTTTTCGCTAAGTTTTTAACGTGGTAATATTAACGTTGAGCTAACCATACCTTTGCTGTTAGTGTATTGTTGATATTATCTACAAAGGTTGTGAGYGACTGATCCGCTGTTCTCAACACTGTGGTATAATTTTCCAGCTTTTCAGAGGGAAAAAAAGATGAAGAAATAAGTTAAGACTGGACTGAGTCCCCGGCATTACACTTGGAATAACCAAACTGCTGTTTTAAACACTTTTATTTATGAAATGTAGATCTTCTCACTGTTGGTGGTAAAAAATACCAAACACTGCGTAACTGAGACCAGAAAAAAACAAAAAAAACACACAAAAGTCGCACTCCTTTTCACTTTTTTCTCAAAGAGTAATTTGAGGTATTTAAAGCGGTCATATTCTCAGTGTCAGTGACTGATGCCCAATTCTTATGAAGAATGTACGAAATGAATTGTAACCGAATCAAACTTTGCCAAACTTGGTTTGATTGAGTTTGGTTTTAGTTTCTTGAAAAGCAYTTCAAAGAATTTTTRWTTGAAATAATTTAGTGTTGTCTAATTTCAAAGTTTCGTTTGGTCGCTAAAGGCGTTCCCCTACCTGTGMTTTAAGAGCATTGTACTCATTAACATGAGCATCAAGTTTATCCCTAGTCGTGTTTGCTTGTAACCAAACTGTAGTCAACCCATTCTTCAGTGATGTTATATCATTCGTATTCTCCCTTGCTTTAGTGTTTACGGCGGTGTATTGTTGCTGGAGACTTGTAGTCGTGATGCTCACGTTCGTCTTAAGGAGTTCTATTCGCTGTTCTGCTGTGTTTAGTTTATTTTGTAATGTTCTCATTTCTTGTGTCTGAAAAAAGGAAAAACAAATGTCATCTTGAAGTTGCGTAGGATCTGGTACCTAACCGCGTTGCATGATGGGGTATAGTCMTATAGAGCTTTAAGTGCGACGTCAATCATACGGAAAAACGACTTCTGGGTCCAGAACGAAAAGTATTTCTATAACAAAGTTTTCTTTTTCCAGGATTGTTTGTCCAATGTTCTAATTGTTTCAGGTGGAGGTTAAATCATTGGGAAAAGTTTTCGTTTTACTTTCATTGCGTTTTTTCGTGAGCAGTTTGACCTGGAAATACGTCACAACTTAGTCCAATATTTAAGAAATTGTAAAAACAGTTTTCAGCAATCTAATGCAAGTTTGTTTTAGGYATAGATGTAGGTGGTATAACTCAACCATTACGGACTATTCGATAACTTCAATAGTAAAAAGAATGAAGAAAAAACTCACCATTTGTGTGGACAGGGTGGAAAGGTTTTTTCTTAACTCAGCCATTTCATCGTACAAAGGGTTAACAGAGGTTTGTGAAGCAACATTACGAGACGCAACTAACGATTAAAAATACAAATAATAACACTGTATTGAGACATTATTGACATTATTATGAAGCATGCGAATGCAATTTCAAACAGTTCCGAAACTGCTTCACTGATAAGCCGGTAAAAGTTGAA